CTCACCGCCACAGTGATGTTCTGGCCCGGCACTATCTGCTCAGGCAGCTGAATGGTCACTCCCTCCTTGCCCGTGATGCCCAGCGAGTCGGCCGACTGGCCCGCCAGGTACTGCAGCGGCACGATGCCCATGCCCACCAAGTTGCTGCGGTGGATGCGCTCGTAGCTCTCCGCGATCACAGCACGCACGCCCTGGGGGAGGGGGGGAGGAGGAGGAAGAAGGATGAGTTGAAAGGGGTGGGGTGGGGGAGAGGGGCGACGGAAGGGTAGGGGTGGAGTGGGAGAGAGGGGGCGACGGAAGGGGATGGGGGAGGGAAGAGGGTGGGTGGGAAAAGGGAGAAGGAGAGGACACGAAAGGAAAGTGGTTGGGGAAAGGAGGGGATGATGGAAGGGGAAGAGAGGAAGAGGGAGGGAGGGAGGGAGGTGAGGGGAGTTGTCATTGTAAAATTGTAATGCGGTGACTAAAATTTACAAATGTGATTTAGTGAGATTGACTCAGTGAGTTTAATTTCAATTCTATTGTTATTAATGTTATTGTCACAGTAATTATGACTGTGTCTGTAAAACAATAATTGTCATTTTGACTGCAAAAAAATTAAAAGATCAGATGAAAATTTTTTTTTTAAGTTTAAGAGAAAAAAATATAAAAAGATGAGAAGTTAAAAAAAAAAGATTTTTCAGACGAGAAAAAAAAGAAGAAAAGTAAAAAAAAAATTCTTTTTTTTATTAAAAATAAGTTTTTCAAAAAAAAAAAAAAAAGGACAAGTCTCTCACAAGAATCCAAGGTCCCTTGGCGGCCCAGTCACGAGAGGATCCCGAGCCGTACTCTTTTCCTGCCAGGATGACCAGTGGCCGTTTGTCTTGTGCGTAGCGCTGGGCAACGTCATAGATGTCCATCTGGAAGGAAATGACAGACTGAGGCGTGAGAGGGGACGGGAGGGGGGTGATGCAGGAGGGGGGTGGTTGGATCGGATGTAAGGGTGAGGAGGATGAGGGCTAATTAGATTACAGACTGAGGCATGAGAGGGGAGGACAAGAGGAGAGGGGGGGAGGATGATGAGGGCTAATTACAGACTGAGGCATGAGAGGGGAGGGGAGGAGGGAAAGTGGGATAGTTGTGCAGGAGGATGAGGGAGAGGAAGATCTGGAGAGGGGAAGCGAAGAGGATAAAAAGAAGGGTACGAAAGAGGAAAAGAAGAGGAGGATGAGGATGAAATCAAAAAAAGGAAGAAGAAGAAAAAATAAATGAAGAGGAGGATGAAGACTGCAGAGGAGAGGAAGAGGACACAGAGAAGAGGAGGAGCAGAAATAGAAAGAAACATGACAGAAAAGAAATATAAAAGACAAAGGATTAGGCTAAGAGAAGAAAAAGGAAAAATAAATGGGTCCTTCATTCCTCCTTTCCTTACTTACATCTTCCTCACAAAAGTACAAAAGCACACAGACCATACAAAATCACATTACAGTCGACTACGGATGAGCTGATGTCGTGGGGGGGTGAAAAAAAAAAGATCAACTTCAACTTAATCGATGGGACCAGTAAAGACAAAGACGTGCTGGGACCCATTTTTTTTTTTTCTTTTAAAGTCTTAGAAAGTGTTTTACGGTACTTGCAACACAATAAGGTCATCTAAGTGCCGAAGAATAGATGTGTTACAAGAGAGCAACACACACAAAAAAGAAGGAGGAAAGATAAGGATGATAGATGTTTGATAAGAAAGAAGGAGCAAACCACACCAGAGCACCCGCCAACCACCCACCTGGGACCCAGAAAAAGATCAGCTTAATAGAAGATCAACTTAAGCGAGTTCAATCAGCACAAGTGGAGTCAACTGTACTTTTTTTTTTAAAAGAACCGGTTTTTAAAAACATCTCCCTAATCCTCTGGGATGGACTCATAATGCTATATATATATATAAGTGAGGCAGCGTGGTGGAATCAGGCTCTCGTCAGAATAATGAAGTCGAAGAAAACAGCAGTTTTCTCCCTGCTTAGCAATTTTTATCAAATTTTTGTTTTTTGGCTCAAGACCTTTTATGCCTATTTTACAAGCACATTCCTTGGAGGATTTCACCGAAAACGTTGATTAATAGCACAAAAATATAAATTTACAGTTTTCATGGACTCTCCAGCTTTGGAATTATACCAAGCTTTGGCGACCATTTTCTCGATAATTTTATCTCTTAAATCAGGTGACCCCCCCCTCCTTCAATCCAAAATATCTCCACTTCTATTGAAGATGGATGGGTAATTTTTTCATTGAAAGCAAGACAAATGAACAAGCTTTAAGATGATACCAATAACTCAACATGCCCAAAAATTGACGAGAGCCTGATTCCACCATGCTGCCTCATATATTCAATTGGTCGTAAATTTTGAACTCGATGGCATGTCGCAAACCTGAGAATTACAAAGTCCTATCTGCTCAGTACCTAGTTTTGAGAAACTGGACGTCGAAGATTTTGAGAGTTTCACATCATGTCAAGCTTTCTCGAATGCAATTCTCTAAATATCTTGATAACGACTCCGAATAATCTCACGAGTTCGATAGAGCAGAAAGAACATTTGGTTTCTGATCTCCTGGTCTTAGTAACTCAAAACGGCCAAAAATGTCAGATGGAACTTTGTAATTCCGAGGTAGCGAAAAATGTCGGAAGGTAGCGATGTATCGAGGTCACTTTGTGCTTTGTGTGTGCAGGTAATGTCACAGCTTCTACACGCTGCACAATAACTGGAGTGTTATTTTCAAGGGCACATCACCCGCAGTTTTAAACACTTGGTGTGGGCACTTTCCCAGTACCGGTGCCACTTGATGTCGCTACCTTCCCAGTACCGGTACCACTTGATGACGCTACCTTCCCAGTACCGGTACCACTTGATGACGCTACCTTCCCAGTACTGGTACCACTTGATGTCGCTACCTTCCCAGTACTGGTACCACTTGGTGCGGGCACTTTCCCAGTACCGGTACCACTTGGTGTGGGCACTTTCCTAACATTTGCTGTCGGTACCTTCTCAGTACCGGTACCATTTGATGTCACTACCTTCTCAGTACCGGTACCACTTGCAGTCGGTACCTTCTCAGTACCGGTACCACTTGCAGTCGGTACCTTCTCAGTACTGGTACCACTTGATGTCTCGACCTTCTCAGTACCGGTACCACTTGATGTTGGCACTTTCCTAGTACCGGTACTGGAGGCCTGGTGCCGGTACAGACACTGCCTACGGAAGTACCGAGAGTTCAGATCTGTCCCCGTCGTTTTATGCAAGAAAAACTATGAAATTATGCAAAGTGAGCCCAAAAATGTGAAATTATGCAATTCTGTTAATTTTAACAAAGAATGACAAAGGAAAATAATCAGAAATTACGCAAAAAATGATCAAATTTTGCTCAATTATGCGGGGTGCATAAAACCACGGGGACAGAACAGTTCTGGTACTCTGGTAGTGGGTACCGGAAACGGTCAAGCCCTAGTGGGTAGAGTAGAGTGACTCACCTCCTCCCCAGTGGGAAGGTACAGGGTTCGGGGCCCGGGCTTGCTGAGGAATTTGTTGACTAGACGGATGTTGGCGAAGGTTCCGCGCGCCATGACCTCGTCGTGACCTCTGCGCGAACCGTACGAGTTGAACTCGCGGGGAACCAGGCTGGGGAAAAAAAAAGATTTTTTTTTGTTTAGGACTTTTATGGCATTTTGAATTTTACTGCACTTGCAACACTATTACGTCATATCAGTGTCGAAGATTAGAGGTGTTACAAGACAGTAACAAACATGAAAAAGAAAGAAGGGAGATTTATAAGGATGATAGATGTTTGATGAGAAAGAAGGAGCAAACCACACCAGACCACCAACCAACCACCCAAATAAAAAAAAAGCGGGCAATAATCTTCCCCCACTGCTTTAAGCTCGGTCTGCGTATTTTGTTGCACGCGTTTTACTATCCCATCGACACCATTTAGATCATTAACTCGCTCAGTACCATAACGGCCTTAGCCGGCCGCGCGCTAGTAGCGTTGTTTCTAGGGAAGTGTACACGCTTGGTAACCATCGTATTTAACCCGCATTTCGACCAATCAGAAAACAGATAATCATTCTCTCCTTGAGAGCAGCAGGGACATAACTCTGGAAATTTTAGTTGGACTAAATTCAATGTAAACAAACTGCAGTTCACACTACTTCACACGGGTCAGGGCAAGCTAAGATCGAGCGTTCTTCGCAAGCCGTCGGCATCGCGTTCAGACTGATTTAGGCGAACTTTTGGATAATTTAAATGAAAATATCAGTGCTGGGGGAGAAAACCCACAGAAAGGTAGCAATTGAAGTGAAAGTGACATTGATGGTGATCTAATTGTGCCTTTGGGGGGTGATTCGGACAAGGAGAATGAGGTCAATGAGGAGCATATGACTAGATCTAGATCTAGATCTACAACTCGGTTGATTTTTATCTTCAATTATGAAGTACAGTCACCACACACAATAAACAAGTACTTTTTGTATAAAAATTTATTCATTTGTGAAGAACTTGTTTAAAGATTTTTTTTGATCAATGGATTGGTTATTTTATAATGATTTTTTCAATATACCCACTACATTTCAAACATGGATTTATTCCAAATTTTGCTAAATTGTGCGGGGTACATAAAACCATGGGGACAGATAAAGGGGCCTTGTATCCCTAGATCCATAATGACGAGGATGACGATGATGATGATAGCGATGATGATGACGACTCACCCTCGGGAGGCTAAGTAGCGAGCAGCGGAACTGTTGCGGGCGATGCTGCCGGCCGGAGAGATGTGGTCCGTGGTGACCGAGTCGCCCAGGTTGAGGAGCACGGCTCCGTTCTCGATGGAGCGGACGGGGGGAACCTCACGCTCCTAGGGGAGACAAAACAGATTTTGTTTGTTGGTTTGTTTGTTTGTTTGAGTAAAGAGAAGCACATCGACCGATACAATAATGGTCATTAAGTTGTTTATTTTAGTAAGAGTTTTACGGCACTTGCAACACAATTAGGTCATAAAAGTGCCGAAGATTAGATGTGCTACAAGAGAGTAACAGACACAAAAAAGAAGGAGGAGAGATCAGGACGCTAGATATTTGATAGGAAAGAAGGAGCAAACCACACCAGAGCAGCCGCCAACCACCCACTTTGTTTGTTTGAGTAAAGAGAAGCATATCGACTGACACAATAATGGTCATTTAGTGCTAGGAAAAAGTAGGACAGACAGACAGAAACAATAAACAGAGGAGAAAGTATAGAAGTAGGACCTACCAGTGGTGCCCCCACCCCCTAACCACCCACAGAAACAAAGAGAGAGAAGAACAAATTGTAAATGAGAAAAGGAAAAAGAAACAAGGAAGGAAGGAAAAAAAGGGGGAAAAAAGAATCAAGGAGGGAAGGAAAAAAGAAACAAAGAGGGAAGGAAAAAAGAAACAAAAAAGAAAAGAGACAAAAGGAAAGAAGGAGAGAAAGGATAAGAAAAAAGGAAAAGTAATTTCAAAAAAGGGAAGGAAGAAGATTAAAGAAGGGAAGAAACAAAAATAAACAAGAGAAGGAAGAAAGATTTTCTTTACATGGACGATGGAAAATGATTTGTGCTGAGCGAAAAAAGAAAAAAGATTAGACCTAGATCTAATATCAGAAGTTAAAAAAGAATTAATGAGACAGAGAGTGAAAGAATGAAAAAATGGGAGGATGAACAAAGACAAAAGAAACAGAGTCAGGGAGTCACAGTGAACGAATGAAAGACAAGAGGAAGGAATGAGCAAAAGGCATATATGGAGTACAGCAAGTAAGAGAGTGAAAAAAAAAAAAAAAGAGAGAAACTATGACTAGATCTAGAGATTGGAAAAAATAATGGCACAATTAACACTTTGCCCTCATATTTCCGGGAAAATCCACAGAAACTGGGTGGTAAACATCGCCAGTCAGCGAGATGAGGCAGCAAAGTGTTAAAGAATTGATGAAGACAAAAAAACCCCCCCCAAAAAAACAAGAACAAAATAAAACCAAACAAAGAAAACAAAACACAACAGCCGCACACAACACCCACCATATCGTCGAAGAAAGGCGGCGATTTGATGTAGGTGGACTTGGGGTCCCATGGGTACAGATCACTGGCGGGTGCTTCTAGACCGTTCCAACGCTGGTTGCCTTCCTGTAGGGGGCGCGTGGGG